AAAAAACAACTCATTTGCAAATACAGACTGTACTCTTTCAGTTAATACATACATCAAGCAACACTGAACTTTGGCATGGGCATTTAATTATTTAAAAAATGAAAAATAAGTAATTTTGAATTTCCTTGTACAAATCATCAACATTTATACACGGTTGAACTTCTTTAGGGAATAAAACCCACAAACATAAGTGCATATTATCAATGACGAAAACATTTCTGCACAATTTCATCCTTTAGCTCTGGATGTAGTACATGTTTTCTATACAACAGTAGGTGACCATAACAGGTCATTATATATATATAAAAATTTTGCATTATTAGAATAGGAAACACGCTGTTTGTTATTAAAGTACCTTGAAAAAAAAACTGTCATATTTGCTTTAGTCAATGGGAGCCCTTTTCTGTTTATATTTCCTAGAAGACCCAAGTTGCCCAGAAACATGGATGCTAGACCTAAGCGGTTTGGTATGAATTACAACATGAAACTTTGGAAATCTCCAAGACACTTACTCATGCAGTTAATATTGCATACTAATGTCCCCCTCCCTCCAAAAAAACCCTAGTAAATCAATTCAGTCTTGGTATGTTAAGAACAAGATTCATTCAAGACTCGTATAGCCTTCCCAAGTGAGGTGGGGTCCCACTTACATCAGTCTCTCTGCTTTCAAATGACACAACTGAGAGCGATTGAGTTGTTGGACAGGTGAGGACATGGACCTGGGTTAGTGAATTGCTGGTAAGGTAGCTAATTCAAGACTTTCAAAACTCCTAAGATCAAAACTTCCATATTTGAGCTTGACTACAAGCGTACCCTACTGAAATAAAAAGTTAATGGCAAGTAACGACTAAACAACTAAAAATTCTACGTAACACATAATTTTTCCTAGAATCTACTAAACCTCTCCCAAGGGTCTGATAATGTAAGTGATAATGACTTGATATTGACATACTTTTTTCCAAAAAGCCATCCAAATCTTCTAAACGGTCAGCAGAAGCGTTATGTTTCAAGATACAACTTGTGGGATTTTTTTAAACCATCAAGAGCTTTACATTTGTGTAATAATACACAAAAACAACGTACATCCGAGGTACTTTATCTGTGAGTTCCCAACAGTTCCTTGGTTCACATGTTCTGCCTGAAGCATTACTGGTTTCAAATATTTGGAAACTTCCCTTGCCAGTACTTCTTTAAGGCAGGATATCAGAACTACTTCTGCCACATATTCACGCCAGCTGGATGTCCAAGTTTTGTTTTTTTTTAAAAAAAAAAAGAATTAATTTTGGCCTTACTGCTGCTAAGTTTCAGTCAATACACATGCAAACCAAGAAGAGGTAACATGAAGACAAGTAATTCTTGTTATGTTCTCTGTTGTTATTGTTCTTTGGCTTAAGAAGTATGTGAAACACAGTTTAGGAAATACTTCACTTACAACTTCATATTAATCTGTGTGTTCTGCATTAACTCCTTAATGATGCTCCCATATGTTTGGCATGCCATAAATCAGTGTGTGCATTTCCTACCTAGTACACAGAGAAGGAAATCAGATGTTCTTCCAGAGAAAACTTTGTATTTATTCAGAAGGCATACATCTCAACTCACTTTTTTATTACTTCAAATTTTCAATTTCATGAAACTGATAAATTAATGGACTTCTTACTGTTTGAATAATATTAAAAGCAATATTCACTGGTGTATATTGGTGTTCAGAGGGCCTATACAAACACCCCATACCTTTTAAACCCCTGAGCAAAGGTTTTAAATGGTGTCCCATGGGATCTCATCCACCATGAGGGAAAAAGACAAGGCATCCTGGAATATGTCTCTTGAAAAATATTTTAAAGCTTAAGAAAGTTCTTCCTTATTAGAATACAAATGCAAAATAACCTACCCTATATCCAAAACAATCCAAGGAATAACAATAATACCTGGATTTTTAAATTTAAGAAACTCTTACGGTCATTAAATACACATTATGAAAACAATTGGCAAATCTGAAAAGGTGACTGTTATGATACATTAAGGTTGCCTTTAAGTTTTAAGGTAAAAAAACCTACATGCATGCAACTCTCTGACAGCAAACTTCAAAACAGACAAGAAAAAACACGGACTCTTCAAAATGTTTTCATTTCTAGTGTCTTGATTCAAATGACATACATACACTTATTCTGACCAGGAATGAAAAATGTGCTGTGTTAAGAAGAAATAAAATATCTTTAATAAAATAAAAATAAAATAGGCAAGAATTTCAAGAAGAGGACTGTTTAACTGAGGTCTGTGGTTAATGTCAAATGAAAATAATGTCTACTGTCATGTTATAGAAGAATCAGTACACAGTCATAACTGGATTGTAACATGTAAACAGGCACTTTTAAAATACCTTGTTAGTTTAAAATCAAGGATAAAAGATTTTCTTAAGCCATCGGATGTTTCAGAAGGGCATGAATCACACGTATGCCTCTCTACTTTGCTATGTACAAAAATTTCCACACAACTTAAAAAATGAAAACATCAAAAAACTTACATTGGTTATGAACACTACAAATTTTAAGATGACAGCTTAAAGTAGAAGAGTATTGCAGAAGTATCTTTGCTAAAATGAAAGCTCCAGGTTTTGTTTGAATTCTCAACACAGCAAACAAACTCACTGTCTGATAGAAAAACTTGCATTTCATTGCTAAAGCAAAAGCTTTTAAAATAAACTGCAATGCACAACTTCTATGATATTAATGCTGATACCACAGGTGATTTATTGTTTTTTTTGTTTTGGTTTTGTTTTGCTTTTAATAAACCTCCCCCTCCTGCCAGAATACTGTTATACAGAAAAAAACCCGCTACTCTCTACTATTGTCAGTCTTTCAGATATGGTAAAAAACCTCAGCATACAAGAGTTTTAGAGCAAGTAATCAATCTGCAAAATGTTATACATCAGTAATAAGGCATCCACTTTACAGCTGTTTAAACAAAAAAGGAAATATTTCCCAAAATATATATTTTGGATCTGTGTAAACAAAGCTCTTATGTATTGCTTCCATTCATTTCAAAAATATACACCCACAAGAACTGAAAATTATTTTGGTGCCATGAATTTTAAATTACTGTAATTCATCCAGATGTAATCTGAAGATACAAAACCCAAATATATTTAACTTAATATTTTGAAATATGACAAAAAACCTGAAATAATTCTTATGTGAAAAGAAAGCTAAAAATATACCCCAAATTTGATGCCATTTCATTGAATGAAGAAGAAAGTACTATGAAAATAAACATTCATCTGGTTTCCTAACAATAAATATAAAGACAATTATTATAACATACTGGAACACAAGAAGTATTACTATATTGACCTTAACGTTCAATCAGTAGTTTTTAAATCTTTCCTCATTGAGGCTTGCATCTTCTACCTTGTCAGCTGTCCAACAACTTTTAAGAGGGTTTTATTTTCCTGCTTCAATTGTTCATTCTCATCTTCTATATCATCTAGGTCCTGTGAAAGGAAAAAGAAAAATAAATGTTTCTGAGGACATAAATACAACCTTCTTAATTTGTAGCAGCATGACTTTAGCATCTTAGATCTGAAATTAAGAAGCTGGGGTTGGAAAGAATTAGTGTCACAGTAGCTACCCTAAAATCTGTTAAACCAGTCTTCTTCCAAGTGTTACTGTAATTACAAAACATTAATATTATATTAATGGAAATATTATAATTACTAATATTATATTATGGAAACATATAAACTAAAGCTACAACAGGAATTAATGCACCAAGAAACCGAAATAGGATGGGTGTGATTATTTTACTGGCATATGAAAAGAGTGTATTAGTCAGCAATTGCCTCTGCTCCCCAGACTGTGCTTGTCTGCAACCACCTCGCTTGCATTTACACATCACTGGTTATTACTGCAAGAAGACCTGCTTTGTGTGTTCAATTAAGTACCAAATTTTTACAGAAAAAGTGCTGCCTGCCCATTTTTTGTTAATTTTCTATGAAAAAAAATAAAAGGCATTTTGTAAGTTCTATCTGACCTGCTACTGAAAGGACAGACAGTATACACAGTAAAAATGGGTGCTTAAAACTGATTGCTCCCACCCCAAACGTTTATCCTTCTTCCACTGGTTATCATCTTTACCCAGTTCCCACTTAACTTCTTCACTTCCTACCAAGTCTTTTTCAGGCCTTTAAAGTGAAAACCAGTGAAATTGGCTGTTTAATGTAAGCATTACTTTAGTAAAAATAATTTTACTGTACATAAAACCATGGAAGAAACAGAAGATTGACCTCAAGGACAGCAATTAGTAGGAAAGTGAAAGGTGGGCAAAGGCAGAACCACCAGGATTCTCATTAGAGATCCCAGGTGCCATCTGATTGAAGTCTGCAAAACCCAGCTGTTGCAATGCTCCACTACACATAAAACAGTATAGAAAAGAGATTTTCTCTCTCTCATTCCTTTAAGTTGGTAAGCGGTCTTTGACATACAGAGTCTATTTTCTAGTTTCTTTTTAGCGGGGTTAATCCAGAAGTGCACGCTAAAGATGCTGTGTTTAATTGGTATCATGATTTTTAATAGCCTCTTCAGTTTGCCAAGCCAAAATCTGTACTGCAATACCTTCACAATTACTTTACTGTTTTTGTAATGTAGAATCAAGAATTCGCTACCAGAAATTCCTCGTGGCCTCACAGAAGTTGTGCTGCATCACAGTACAAATGACTTCCAGGAAAAGCATTTGACCACTCCGATATAACAGATACAAGTGACTTAAATATCTAAGCATCCCAAGTTTTAATGGATGGGCACTATAAATACAGTTTACTATTTAAGAAACACACTTTGTTTTCTCTCTTGTGCAGTTCACATCAATAATCAGATGAAAGGGACAACATTTCTCCAATAAAACAGTATTATTTAGTTCAGGATACATAATACTGTTTGAACTTGTCGGTAACCTAGCCATAAAATGCTGCAATTATAGCTTACCTAAAAACCTTCTGTTTAAAATGCCTGTAATTTACTCAAAATAAAATATTAAAAGTTTGTGAAATGTTTATGCAGCAAAAATAACATTCCAAAGATTACTACAAGTAAGAATTTCTTGAATACAAGCCAGGAAAAATAACTATTGGTCTTAAAATATCCACAGAAACAATATGCTGAGAGATGCAGGTGTTTTTTTGCCACTATGGTATTTAAAGTCCCTTATTCAAAATTGCAACATAAATTTATGCTTATTAGTAAAAAAAAAAGGTGCAATAGCAGGCAAGCTTGGCCTTCACATACCAAAGGAACTGACGGTAATTGGGTTGTAAATCCTCACTGCCAGACTCTCCAAACACACATTTAACTACAATGACATCTTGGTGAGGTCAGAGATGACCAAGTGTAAACTCGTCAACAGTTGAACTTAGCCTACAAATATTTAAATGTCTTGAGATGCCTTTCCCTTCAGATATTTGAGGTTTTTATGAAGCAATTACCCTTTTCTTACAAAAAAGTGGCAGACATACTTTTAGTGGCTAAGGTACTGGAGTGAAAGAATGCCATTTATGGCAGAAAGCCTTTCCTGTTTCTCAATATAAATGCAGCTCGTGTTCCTTAACTATATTTGTGATTCATTGACTGATCTCAGTAAAATTATACTGTTACATTAAATAAATATATTTACTTAAAATGAGAAAAAGCCTGCCAAAAGATTTTCAGGATTCCTGGAAAAACTATTTTTGAAGTGTTAATACAAGATCCAGGATGCATCCATGCTTATGAACTGACTGAAAGAGCATTTCTTTAAATATGAGGGCTGAGCAGTCACAAAGCTATGGCTATGCAATAAAATGGTGCTCTAAAAAGTCATTTAGGTTCTTCGACTTGAGATTCTTTCATACCTGTGCAACCGAACATGCAGTAACTGCATATTTTGATTAATAGTAAAGATGGAGAAAGACCACGAATGCTGGACGGTCAAATTGAAAGATCCCTAAATAGGTTACCTACCAGCAAAATCTTTTAAAAAGATCTCTGTGTAAGTTCACTCAGTAAAGTTTAGTTGTCAAGAAGCCTGAGCAGAAGGCTGAAGATCACAACTGTTCTTCCATGCAAAGCATCCAGTCCTGGTGCCAGGTCTACAGAGCACCATTTCATGGAGAACTGATGGATGGCCAAGTGCTGCCTCTCATGCTCTCAGTTATGACAGTAAGCTCTAGGCAAATAAAACTGCTCTATTAACTTTCATCATGGAAATGATGCAGTATTTCTGTAGCCTTTCTTAATATTCTAAAGCTTTCCTCTTTCTAAATCCACATGGATAGCCAATATAGAAGCAATCATAAATCCAAAAGCTATTTAAGACAGACAGTAAACCTACATTTGTTTTAATGGAAGCATCACTTGAGACATGGGTTCAAACTTTTCTAAGACACCAAATTGTGAAGCTGGTCATAAAGTCAAGAGGCAGCTATTTCCTTGTTACGGAAACCCCAAGGGATGCAAGCATAAATAACCACAATTAAGCTAACAGACAATGTTACAACTATGATAAATGATGACCTGATGGAGAAAAAAATAAGAAAACATTCTCTTCTGCATTTATGAGAGGCTAACCAGGCAGCACCAATAATGTAGCTTTGATGATCTCATGGAATGGTATTATTTTATTAATTTTCTGGAAGGACTATATTCTGTTTTACGTTTTCTTTCCATGCAACATGCAGCAATTGCCATAATACTTCAACTCTGGAAAGGCACAGGCACTGCTTGACTTCACTGCTCATGTTTGACGATGGTTTCTAGTCGGACACGTGATGGATTGAATTTAGGATACCATATTTCAAATATAGCAGGAAAAAAATAACATTGTTTCTGGAAGAGCAAACCTTGCAAACAGTTACGGTCCTAAAACCCAAGCTTTCAGTGATTTAAGTTCTTTTGACTTGTTCTTTCTGACCTCAGAGCCAGAAGTCAGATGTGAGCAGCAGTATTAAGCAGATTTGCCATCCATTATGTAGAAGGTAGGAACACTTGCCTTGACTGTAATAAGATCATCAGCTTCCACGTGACACAATCTTTGCAGAACTAAAGAATGGCATAAAGACCTTTTCTTCAATTAAAATAGAAGTATTGTCTATTTTGGAGAGTTTTCATTTATCCTACAAATTAACTTCCAAATGTATTAAAAAAAAAGAAAATAAAAAAGAAACTTGTTTCAGAATAATCTCGGCTACTTTAGTCCTCTAAATTAGTTTCAAATAAATACTGGAAAATGAATGTTTGCCACTATGCACAGCATTATTGCCTCCTCTCACTGCTGGGTTGACCAAAGCCAGTTCTGAAATTTTCTTCTGGATTTTCATGGGAATGTCTGCACTGGACCAGGAGAAGCACAGTTTCCCAGAACATCCAGGCTGTGCTCCTCAGCCAGGAAGTGCAAGATGAGGTGACTAATCCATCCTACGAGAGCTCCAGTCTGCCCATAAAACTGGGACTTGTTAAAATCTTCTATCAACTTTAAAACTTCTCATCCTGTCACATTCCCAAGCATGTCTCACTCTTCTACCCCCTCTTCTCCTGCCTATACACCTTGCCTGGATGATGACAGCCCAAGTCTCCTGCCCCCATCTTGATCTGCCTTTACTTGAGGGTCAACAATGAAGATTATGAGAATATGTGTCAGAGGATAAAGCACTTACTTCTAAACCTTTCTAAGATTATCTAAACCATTATTAGTAATTAAAAGCGTACTAAAATGAAATTAAATTTATAACTACTTTGTCTAACAATTTATTGAGAAAACTGTCAAAATCCTGACTTAAAATTATTTCCTGGTATGCTACATACTGAATTTACAAAAAGAATCTCAGGTGTTCCAATAACACACAACTTACAGAAGTTCATACTGACAAACAGAAGTCACCTGGAAAAGATAACACTTACTGATATGCCTCTATGAAAAGTCACACAAATACGAAAAAAGCCTCCATACTTAATTTTCATCTGATGTGTGTCTGAAGAACAGCACAGAAAATGGAGAGGCTTTTGTCCCCCTCTTTATATAGTACCATGTGAGAAAGTATGTGCTTACTCTGTTTAATAAATCAATTTCTTCCTTCAGCTTTCCAATTAGTTCCTCTTTGTCCTGTGTCATCTTCATTAATCTTGCATTTTCCTGTCTCTCCTTTACAAGTTCCTAAAACCAGAAGATGCAATGAAGTTTGAAATGTCACTTTTGGTTTCAAGAGACAGTTTTAAGTTATTACCACTTCAAACAAACAAACAAAGAAGAAAAACCCACACACACTGACATGTAATTCCTTTTCTACAGCAAGTCAAACACACATTTCAAGGAGCTTAAAGAAGCATGTTTTACCCACAGCAAACTTGTGTGATATCTCTGATTCCAGAGATAATGTTTTAATTCATATTTAACTTAAGCCTGAATTCAAAATTGGATAGGATCAGAAGTAAGTAACTGTAATGTATCAGCTTCCAAATTTGTTATGTTCAGAGGGTTAGTCTTTTTTTTGAAGGGAAGGAAAGGAAGGAGCAGGGCAAGTTTCATGGTGGTTTTGGTTGGTTGGGATTTTTTGTACTACCATTAACAAGGAATGAAGACTCAGTGTTAGATCTGTGGGCCTGAATGTGAGACATAATAAATGTGCCCATTAGGAATTCAGCAAATATGAGTTCAGGATACTGAAGGAAAGCCCTTAAATCTTCCTCTATTTTCTGTGTTACTGGCAGTTAAATTATTTCAGAAGGAAGCTGATGTGGAAGGGAGGATTACAGAGTACTTCTTTCAAAACAGGCTTCCCAAAGTCTTAAAAAGAAGTGATTTCTACAAAATATGCTTTATTTTCATCCTTTCCAAAAAAAAAGAACTATTAAAATTGTGTTTGCTTAGTAACTTTCATCCATACAAGTTCAAGAACACTTCGCAAATTACCCACAAAAATCCACTTCAGAGGAAGACAGAGAAGCCAGTAATAATTGTACAGATCACATTATTTAGCAAAATACTGGTTTAGGTGAAAAACTCAGCTTTAGCATTATTACGTTTTCCCAAAATTGTTCATATGAAGCATGTCTGAAATAGTGAAAACTTTATATTAAATATATATTTTAAACATTTAAAACTTCAACAAATAACTGGATAAGAATTAAATTTTATAATATTTCAGTACACTAAAAAATCCAAACTAAGAAGTAGACCAAACAGGCTCACTAATTTTCTGAACAGCCAGTGAGCCCCTCCTTCCCCCAAGTTCTTTGCCTTGTGTTGATGTCACGAGGTACACATGAGAAATATGCAGAGCACTGCTGGCTCTCTAAGCGTATTATCTTCTTTACCTCAACTATTTCTCACTTATACACCAAATGAAAACTAAACATGTGTGACTAGGAAGTTCACATTCTTCTCAGCCAGTCTGACTCTTCATTCATTTTTATAGACATAACTATCTGTACTTCAAGCATTTAGCATCATTTCTATAGATTTCAGTTGTACATTTCCCCGTGGAATTTCAAAGGTACTTTATTTCAGATCTATGCCATGCAGATGTTAAGGTGGTACTTACTCTTTCAAGTTCCTCAATCCTCTTTTCCAAAGCGCTACTTGGTACAGAACTGCCTGAAGAATTTGCATCCCTGCTGTATCTGCTGTAAGTTGTCCTGTCTGTTCGGGAATACCTATTTGGACCATCGTCTTCTGGTGCATTAGCTGTGCTACAAAGGCAAAGAGCAAAGCAGACATGCATTTAAACATGTAACAAAATGGAAATTCCAAAGCACTCAATAGGTCAGTCTCATAAACTGCAGAGAACTCATTTCACAGCTCTTGTGCTGCTGAGAACTCACTCAATCCTCTACCTCAGGGAGTCAAATACTTGGATAATGCAGCTCTCATCTCACATAGGTAATCAACTTTAAACTCATACTTTACTTATCCTACTTTTAAAGATTTTAAAGTTTTATGCACTGTGCACATTAAAAACCAAGCTAAAAAACTTTATTTTAAAAGTGAAGTACCACTATGGAGTTTAAACCAAGCATATTTTTAAGCAGACAAAGGATGGAAAAAAAAAAGTACACGTCTGGAATGTAAGAAGCTTACACATGTCAATAGACTTTTCAAGAACTATGAATATGACCTGTGAGAAACTAGAAAGCAAATCAAAGTAAGGAAGTGATTAACTGATTGACCCAACATTAATTTTATGCCATTTCCAAATATTTCACTTCATAACTTGGATATGCAGCAGTTTGTCATAGCTCACTATGTGAGTAGGCACTCACCCATTAACTGATGATATGATTTTTGCTTTAGACTGTGTGTCTATTTCTTAAAATCACTGCAATGGAATCTTAACAGGTAAGCACTGCAAATGCATATAAGCTACTTTTAAAAAAGCTTATATATTCTCCATTGTGAGTGCTATGTACAAAAACAGTGCCATTTAAAAATATATGTATTATGAGTCAAGCATTTTCAAAGTCAAAGATTCAACAGTGTTCTTCCCATAGCTATTTTCTTCCTAATGGCAATGTTATTTACCTTCAATGTAGACTATAATGAATTATTAAGAGCAGCAGAACAGAGTGCCGTGGGACCAGGCAGACAAATACAGACCTTTCCCTTCTCAAACCACCAAATCTACACTTCTTTGACTTTAAAAATGCATAGCTAAACAGCCAAAAAAACCCTGTTCAGTCTTCACTAGGAGAACTCAAATGGAGATCCTCAAAAGCAACCTGGAGATGGTCCTGGGAAACCAGGTTTGGGTGGCCCTGCCTGAGCAGGGGGATGGACAAGATGCCCTCCAGAGGTCCCTTCCAACCTCACCCAGTCTGAGATTCTGTGAAATCACACAGCTGAAATATGTATACATGGTTTTCTAGACCACTTAGGAAAAGAATGAAAAGCACTACATTTCTTTTAAAACATAGGAAAGTATGATTAATGTCTTCATTTAACAGCAATGCATCTCATAACTCTAGAAAACCCCTGCTGACAATGTGCAAATCTAGATGGATACGGTGCAAATCCAAAGCAGGAGTATCTGGCAAAAAGAAATATTTTCGTGGATATAAATATTGTTTTGCCCCAGTATGTGTGAAATTTCCAAGGCACGCTGACACAATTGTAAGGAATTTTGTAGCTCAATGTTATTACCATATTTAGCACTGCTTATGCTTCATCTAGACGATTTTTTAAGAAAAAAAAAAACCCAACATTTCTAGGACCGGATACACATGTTGCAACACAACATAAGAGAAATATTTTAGCTTAACTCTATAAATTCTAGATTATTTAGCTTTCCAAAAGATGTGCTGTTTTGTGCTGTTAGTCTCAAGGATAGTCCACACAAAAAAGGCTCAACTTTTCATCACTCAAAAATGAGCCCTTTTGCCAATATACTGGAGTATCTCAACTCAGCTCCAGCGAGTGATCTTGGCAGATACTCCTACAGGAAGGTTAGAAGAAAGAATACCTACATAGGAAGGGTTTCATTAACACTGAAAATTAAAAATACTTTCTGTATATTCCCTGAAACTCACACTCAAACGTTTCCTCAGCTATTCCACTGGGGAGCAGACCCTACTGGACACATTTCAGTATCAGCAAGTACAATGGACATATCATGAAGACTTCTAGGAAATGTGATTTAAAACAAAACATTTAAGGTGGTATTAGCACGTAATGTAAAACAAGGAATGTGACAGATGTAAAGGTCATTATTTTGGCTGTTACAAGCAATGACCAGTACATAGCAACAGCAAAAAAGGTACGTGCAAGACATAGTAGACATATCCTTCACAAAGAATGGAATTTTAGTCTTCAGATACAACGCCGCTTTGTGAGCCTTACACAAGAAAGAAAACCTATTCAGAATAACAATATCACTGAACTTGGTGTCTATGCTTTACTAAGAGAAAATACCTATCAAGCAGCCCCAAAGAAAGATACCTCTATGGAAATAAACCTGGATACTTTTAATATATAAACACAAAATACATTATATATATCAATATGTAACAATAATACTACTTCTGCTGCTACTACTACTAAGAATCATCTGCCAAAACCAAAGAGCTTTGTATACTACTAAGAACACAATTGGGATTTTGCCTTCCTTTGCGTGGGGGAAGTACATGCCTGTGACAGCAGAACCTGTTTCTCTTGAGACTGCAACTGAAACCCTACTTCCTCCACGTCCTAACTGAATTAAAGGTTTACAAATACCTGCACCTTAGAAGTTGCTGGAATCTCACAATAGGGATACAAGAAAAGAAAGTCTATTGTCAGCAGATGTACATTGAATAAAAGCAGTCATTAGCACGAGAAGAAAAATGACAGGAGCCTGCAAGTTGAAAAAAACTTAGAGGCGCTGCTCAAGAAAGCAATTAAAAATGTATTCCCCTTTTTAGCATTCAAGTACCTTATGCACATGGCAACACATCTAACCACTGGTTGCGGCTGCAGAAAACAGTATTTTTAAAATTATTTTTTCAAGAAGAGCATCTAGATTGTATCTGTAGCCATATGTAAGCCGGATCAGAGTGCCCACCAGGAGAGTAACAAATGAGAATGCACCTGGATAGAAACACCCCTCACGACTGCTTCAAAGGGGAGCGTTCGACAAGAAGTTTAACAAAATTCACCTACTTGTTCCACTACTGACTTCCAATTAGCCATTATCTAGCCATTATTTGAGCCTCATCTCAAATGTGTATTCCTGTACTAGAATGCTGAAAACAGAAAATGCTTTTGGAACTTAAGACTTGCTTTGAAAGTTCTTTCTGGCTGTATTTAAACAAAAAAAAATACAGCAAGATTAAACCACATCACAGCTTGACTACTCTACACGGAAACAAAAGCTTTGTTTCAGAATGATGGTCTAGTAATTTCCCTAAAAATAAGACCAGTTATTCACACAGGGACAGGTTTAGCAGCAATATTATAGAAAGATGGAATAAATCTTGCTCCTTCTAATGCCTCTTCGGTTGTCCCAACGTCTTCCAGAAGCACTTGCCAAATTGCAGGTTCATCCAAATAACATCAGTCAGTCAAAACCAGATTTCATTGATTTAAATTATTACATGTTCGTTTTTATTGCCAGAACCCTGTCACAGTATTTGATTTGGAAACACCTAATTAGTTCTGTCACTGCAACCCAGTCAGTTGCTAACAGCTTCTCTGGAAGAATGAGCAAAAGACAGCATTTCTAAATAGGCCACCTTGGACTTCTCCTACTTGGGACTGTTTTAAGCTGAGTTCAGGCTTTCAGAGCTGAGCTAAGGAAGAGCAGTGCTGTCTCCTCTAGAGCTGCACGTTCAAAGCCTCCTGCACATTCCCTGGCTCTGGCCTTCAGGTGCCTGAGAAGGAAACCATCCAAGGAGCTGATGCGGCAATTGGAAGCCATTGACCCCTGCAGCACCGCCCTGTTCAGTTGCACAAGCACTGGCACAACGAACAGTGAAGAACTGCCGCTGGCCCAACTCGGACCATCAAAGACTCCTGCAGAAATAAACCCAAAGTGTTTCTGCCTTCTCATAACATCAGCACAGGCTGAAAGGGGGATACAGAAGTCAAGAAAAGCACCTTGAGTGACCCCTGTCTATTTTAAGCATTCCTATCTGCACAGCAGATAGGTCCTAATGTCACAAGCTAGATGGGACAGTGTTTCAACAGCCAATCCTGGCTGCCAAACTCCCAAACTTTTGCCAGCAGGCAAGTCTGGGCACAAAGTTACGAAACAGCATTTTGCAGCTGTATTTTTTTTTGCTAATTAGTGAGACCAAGGTTAGTACGATGGAATGTAAATTGTTATAGCTTAAGCTTTGTAGTCATCTAAAAAAACACTGAGCAAGAGAATTTCAACAGGGGTCTAATATTTCCTTCAGAGCATCTCCAATGAGTGCTGTGAAGCACGAGCTGCTTCTCTTCTTGCGCTCTCTGCTTCCTCATTTCTTTTCCAATTGTACAATGCAGTCTTTTAGAATCAGTGGGCAAGGGTCTCCACCTGCCGTGTTCCATGTCAACATGCTGTATTACTGTAAAAAGCTCTCCAACATTTTGTCTGGAAGCCTTAAAACCATAGCATATTGTATTCATTTCCATTAATAAGGGGAAACTTATAAGGAGAACACACCCCTGAGCCACCAAGAAATTTTAATCTGTTTCTGTAAACTGATCCAGCCTGATCTGTCTGATCCATGAACCATGTAAAAATCTTCAGAGTTATTTTAAATCCCAATTTACAAGGTTTTCTTTTCACTGTAGGGCATTTCTAAAAAAATTAGCTAAATTAGTTCAGAAGCTAGTAGACAGTCTTAAAAATAAGTTTTTAAAACAAATTCTCTGTTCTTATAAAAATATTCCTATGTCTACGTACCTATCTTGCTTTACTGTTACTTGCAAACAAACTTTTTAGTTCACAGAACTCAAGAAAAACATTAATTCATGTTCACATGTAGATCACACTCAAATATTTCAATAAACAGAATACACTCTCTCTTTTTTGATAAATCAGTGGTGACACCAACCATGATGACAGCATCAGACCCGAATCAGAAAAACATTCTCACTAATGGCAGTGTGCCTGTTGCTTTAAAATAACTACTCACAAAGCAGAGCAAAAACTGGTAGACCCAGTTAACAGTAACGGGAGTTGGGAATGGCCCAGATGAGGCACCATCACATGAAGAAAAGCTCAGGGGAAAATGAAAGGTGAGGAAGTTGAAACGGGCTATCACCACTGAAGGGTATCGATACATTTTAATCCCATGAAGCTCACAGCCAGGACAGACAGCTACTCACAGCTCCCAGATATGCTCATGAACGTGTCCTGTGGATTCATGTCAGCCTGACCCTGAAGGTTCTGGTCAGGTTTTTAACAGATCTTTCAGTATTAACTCCAAAGCACAACTGAACCACCACTTGCTCCTGAAAACATTTTATGCGGTTGATCGCGCAACTACAAAAGAACCCCTACACAAACTTTTGGGGTGTAAATATGAAAATTTTTAAAGTAAATTCAGAAGACAGGCTAATGCTAAAGATCCTCATCCCAAACTCTTATTTACTTTACTGCCTAAGGAGACAAGCTCAGTTTGTCCAACTCAACTAGAACAGAAATAGAATAACACAGCAGCAGCCAGAGGTCACTTGTAAACATCTCTTTCAGTCAATGGGCACTCAGTGAAACAGGTTTCTTAGCGATGTCATATAAAAGTTTAACCATGGGTTTCTGTAGCCATATAAAACAAAGTAGCCAGTGTGTCTGATTAAATAGGTAGTAAAATGGATGTGATTCCTTGGGCCTGGAAACATACTGAGAGAACAGCACAAGATAGATCCCTCCTCTCTTGTCTCTCTTGCTTTGCTAGAAAGGAAAGGGAAGGTACCAGAAGCCCAGGATGGCATCAGTAACCCAGGAACAGAAGTCAGGAAAGGACAGAGACAAAATAGAGGGAAGACAGAAAACTAACAAAGAGTAAACTAGTTCCTCAGTGGTTACATATAAGAATGTATATAAAGCAGGAGAGCAAGGAAAGGGTGTCTATCTGGGCTAGGAAAAGGAAACCAGTGAAGTGAAGAAAAATGCTGAGATGAAGAGATGTCACTTCTGGTACAGAACAACTGGGGAAGAGGGAGAAAGCAAAAGAGACAGAGCAGAAGTAGTAAAGAAGAGGGAAAATGACCTGAAAATTCCTGACAAACAATGAGTCTGTAACAGAGCCCAAGATTTTAGGTAAACATCTTTTCACTTTTGCTGTCATTTGCCTACAAAGTCTACTAACAGTCTCTTCCCCACCCACAAAGCACTGACCACCTATAATCAGAGTAGAACGAGTTTCAAATGGGATCTCAAAGTGGTTGTCCGTATGCGAGAACACGCTTTGCTCTCCGTTTGCTTTGAAAACCTAAGGGAGTATGCCCAAATTTGCTAAAAACACGGTAAATTGAACACATTCAAGCCTTCGAGCAGCTTATGGTCTCAATCCAGCCTTTTGGAATGCAAATTCCAGTTCCAGGTGTAATCACAGAACGGCATTTTCTGTTTCCAAAGGACTTCTACTGTATGTGGGACTCAAGTGAGAGCTCAGTGACCTGAATCTCTGCAGAGAAGGCTGTTTGCTGTAAGACCTGACTGAAGACAGTGGAAGGGACAAACAAGGGAAACATTGGCAGAAGAGGACTCTGGTCCCGACCCCTTTAGCATTCACACCAGAAGTGAAGCCACTGGGAGGCATACTTTGTTCAGGTACTCTTATCTGAAAAAGTACTTCGGAAGAGGCAGAAATTTCCAGATATAGAGGAAAACCAACAGATACTGTTAGCTCTAATCACAGTGGACATTGCATGGAGGTACAGTTAGAATAAAACACACTTAGTACTTGTGAGCACCAAGCCCTGTGGTGACCTGATAGGAAAATAATCCTGTTTTCAACATGATGTTTGAAGACTATGCAATGAGTAAGACAGAAGGCAACATCTATAACAAAATACTGAACAGCAGCTCACAGGAAGTCAGATTCCTCCCGAATGTGATGCCAGTCCTGAGGGGGAAAGTTCACAAAGAATGTACATCCTACACATAACTAAAGCTGACCGAATGAAGACTCCACAAACAAGTCTTATTTTAGCATTTTCTAGCTTTCGAGTATCCTATTTTTGCAACCCTAATCAGAAGAATTAGCTTTTTTACAAATACGCTACGAATGTGATTGCACAAACTTCTATTTATTACCACCTTTCACACAACCAAGTTTTTGCAAGTGAGGATACACAGCATGTGAACAAAATAAAGATAAGGTTTATGAAAAGCCACAAAGTACGATGACACACACCACTAAGTATTCGGCAGATACAAACAGCAATGAAATTCTGCCTGAGGACCGAAGAGGAAATGGAGACTGAACTAAAATGTGTTTGATTAATAAGAAAGTGATAATGAAATTACACAGTTGTAAGGTTGTCACAGTAAGTTCACCCATTCTGCAAAGACAAAGTGATTTAAAAAAAACAACCCTAGAGCAATAAAAAGCATCACTCAACTAGATTTATGAGAAGCCAGGAATATAAATATAAAAGACAGTACCACGCTAAGAAATCTAAAGCATAACAGGATAGGTTATTATTTTTCACTATGAGGGTGGTGAGACACTGGCACAAGTTGCCCAGGGAAGTTGTGGATGCCCCCTCCGTAGAAGTGTTCAAGGCCAGGTTGGACAGGGCTTTGGGCAACCTGGTCTCGTGGGAGGTGTCCCTGTCCATGACAGGGGGTTGGACTGGATGAGCTTTAAGGTCCTTTCCAACCCAAACCATTCTATGATGCTATAGGTGAACAAGTCTGAGGGGTGGAAAATGCACCAGTGAAAACTAGATAACTGAAGGTGCTCTTTGCATTTACTTCTATAGCCAGGAGATATAGACAGATATACACACACACACAGAGATCAATTAACCATCTACATGTTTTACCTGAGTAAAGGTTATCTAAAAGAGAATATACTCATTTGTCATAAAAATGTCTACAAAAATGCCTTGCTTCAGGTGACATATATTAGACACCATGTTACCATCACATTTTCCTAATCATTATGATAGCTTTGCCAATATTACTTGCACATGGGCAAAAATTTCACACACTGGTCAGGTGCATTAGGAGCTTCTGAAATATCTTTCAGTTTAAAAACTTGAGTATTGACCAGGGTAACACTTGGCTCAATGACAACCAACCAATAAACAGGAAATGCTACATCTGGGCAGCATCCCCTACAACTGAGACAGCAGTATGACAAAACCATAGAAATTTATTTCAGTATTACTGTGGAGAGTAATAAAATTATCTTCCTGTATAAATTTATGAACCACCATCTTCTGAAGTTTAACTGTGAACCTATTAGCTCCTAGGTAATGTGTAGTCAAGTCAGACATTTGCTTGGGAAACTGTATTGCACTGGTATATATAAATACCAGCTACAGAAATACCAGCTGAATTTTTTTTAAAACAGTAGCATAATAGAGGGGTTTGGATAAGTTTGCTGCATCTCTCAGGTCCTTACCCCAACATCACGCTATGTATCTACAGTAGCAGTATGATGGCCTCTACTACAAACATGCATTAAAATCAGCTTTATTTCTGGCAGAACTTTATATGTAGATAAATGTGTTGTGTACAAAAATCTCATACCTTTTATACCTGCTTGAAACCATCCTGGAGGAGTCCTAAAAGAAACAGAAAAGAAAAACTAATTAACATTTTTCTTGTAATTGTACTTCCAAAATACTTTATCACTCCATAGAAAATGAAGCCTGCAGTTAAGAGCAGGAGGCCCATGCCTCAAAGAGCTGCTGTACAACTCAGTTTTGCGCTATCTTGCTGTCAGGAACAGAGAGAACACCAGGATTACTGTGACCATGTTACTGCTTCTGAACATCAGCTCAGAACCCTGAAACAAAAGCTTCTGGTTACATCTTAAAACTGGAGGCACTTTCCATGCATATGGAAACAAAAAGATCAGTGGGGAAAAGGGCTCATTTATTGTGTCATAGTCCCTGAAGAAACATCTGCATGTTACATACAAATAAGAAAACCTGAAACAAAATGCTTGCATCAGTAATGCTACACTTGTAGCTTTCCAACACCAGTCTGATCACACAGAAAAATTAAGACATGTTTCAACTGGTAAAGGATGGCTCAGATTAGGCAGAGTAAGTCCACAAGTATTTTTTAGGATGTTGTAAGAACACAAACCAATTATTTCAGCAGCCATAGACAAAATTTCCCCCAGCATCGGCAAATAATAGGTACAAAGTCAGGAAAGAATATTTAAGGAGTTAATGAACTGAAAAATTGTCTTTACTGGAAAAATAATGGCAAGCATGAAATTTTCTCTAGTTATGACACTAACTGCAGGCAGAGGAATAAATGAGTTCTCAAAACCAGATGCAAGAGAAATTCTATCCAGTAAAAAATCCCACAAAACACTGCACTACCTTCACTAATCAGTGTATTAATGTCTTTTTAAGCAAATAAACAACCTAAAAAATAGGATAAAAATACTTACTTTATTACAGAAAGTAAAGTTGACAATCATATTTGTATTATAGTAGCAAAATTTGATCTCTAAGTGCATTTTATTTTATGAAGCATTTTCAACTTCTGCAACATGTGCTACACTTCCCCTAATACAAGAAGAACAACAACAAAATTCAACAAAGTCAAGTCACAGGAATTATCTAAAAAACCCACAAAGTGGCGTAAAATTGCTTGCTTAACATTGACAACTGTTTTATCATTACTGACAGTCTAAAAGGTCACGTAAACATAAATTTTAAGTGGTACCAACACTATTATTAAAGTTTGCAACGGGTACCTTATCTCTGAAAGGTCATGGCAGCAGGGGGAGGTTTCTGAGGACTGGAAGGAAGGAAGGAAGGAAGGATCATTCCTATCTTGAAGGGGGAAGGTCCAGGGAACTACAGGTCAGTCCTTACCTCAGTCCCTGAGTAGGTGATGGAACAAGCCCTGAAGGACAAGAAGGTGATGTGAAGTAATCAGCGTGGAAACACAAAGGGGAGGTCATGTCTGACTGACCTAACAGCCTTCTCCAAGGCTCTGAATGGCTCAGTGGATGAAGGAGAGCAAATGATGTTTATCTCGATTTAAGCAAGGCTTTCAACACCTTCCCACATAACACATGAATAGGCAAACTACTGAAATATGGGCCAGGCAAGTAGACTGTGAGGTGCAACGAGAAGTAACTGGACGACTGGGCTCAAAGGGTTATGACCAGCAGCACAAAGTCCAGCTGGACACCAGTCACTTGCAGAGGTTGATCTAGGGGCCAGTACTGTTTAATATCTTCATTAATGACCCAGAGGATGGGACAAAGTGCACCCTCAGCAAATTTGCACACTACGCAAAACTTGGATGAGTGTTTAATAATACATCAGGTGGCTGTGCCGCCATGCAGAGGGACACTGACAGGCTGGAAAGATTCAACAGAGATCTCCTGAAGTACAAAAATGGGAAATGCAAAGTCTCACACCTGGGGAGGAATAATGCCAAGCACCAGTACATGCTGTGGACCAGCTGGAAAGCTGCTGGGCAGAAAAGGACTTGGGGTTCTGGTGGACACCAAGCTGAACATGAGCCATCGATGTGTCCATGCGGCAGAGAAGGCCAATGGCATCCTCAGGAAGTGCTGTCAGCAGGTCAAGGGAGGTGATCCTTCCCCTCTGCTCAGCCCTGGGGAGGCCACATTGGAGTGCCAGGTCCAACTCAGGGCTTCTTACTGCGAGAAAGACATACTGGAGAGACTCCAGCAAAGGGCCACGCGGATGATTTAAAGTTTGGAGCACTTAACATGAGGAGAAGGAGAGAGCGGTGGGAATGTTCAGCCTGAAGAGAACGCTCAGGAGGTACCTTGTCAATGTGCATAGACACCTGATGGGGTAAAGAAGATGGAGCCCTACTCCACTGTTCCCAGAGAAAGGATGAGAGGCAATGGATAGACACAGAAATACAGGAAGTTCAACTTAAACATAAGAAAATACTGTCTCACTGCAAGATTAAGCACTAGAGCAGGTTGCCTAGAGAGGTTATGAAGTTTCTATTCATGGAGATAATTAAAATCCAACTGGCCACAGTCCTGAGCAATTTGCTCTCATTGACACTGCTTTGTCTGCCAGGGTTGGACAAAAGACTTCCTGGGAACCCTTCCAGCCTTAATGATTCTGTGCTCCTGCTCTGCTCATCTGAGCTCTGCATCTATATTCCTCTCCCAGCTTAGTGAGCTTACGTGAACACATACCCAACATCTGGCAGCTTCAGAGGATTTCATTCTGCCTTCTACTACTGTTACTTAGGGACTTGCCTATCTGCATTTTTACATACAGAGGACTGTAAGGGCCTGATTTTTAGCTTTAAGACAGTCAGCAATAACTGATGTGTGAGAGGAGATCCAAGTAGTTTCGTCTCATATGTTAAGATACTTGCTCACTGTATAAGAAAACTGAAATACCTGATCAGTACTATCAGTCGCAGCTGTTGGTGGCAATGGTCTCAAACATCTTGGTTGTCCCATTAGTCACAGACAAGTGGCTCAACTGTCTCAAGCTTGGATGGAGAAAAGAGACATGTACATGACTGGGTCAAAATTTTGCCTGTCTGTAGATACAACTCTTGCCAATAAAGTAGGAACTCTGAGCTCTCAGCTTCTTCAGTTCTTATTTTTTAAACAGCTTCTTTTTTAGGAAAACGCTGAAGCCTTGATGTTATATACCCATGCTTTCTCATGAACACATGACTCTGCTTATAGCGAAAGGCAGAACTCACGAAAAAGGGAGAATCTGAACGTGAGTTTGCAGACTAGTGAAACACACATCTGTGTACAAACATTTCTGGATCTTGGATGCTTGTTTTCTACTCTAGGCACCAAAGAAATGCAACGTATGCATCCTATACCCTCAAATTTGCTAAGACCTTTTCATATAGTAAATGCACATATAAGCTGTAAAGCAATCAATATACACAGACTTGTACATTTGTCTCAACAGGAGACTTCTACAAGTTTGGCAGTACTATTCAGAAAAGCCAGTTCTTCAGAAAGAGAAAGCTGGGAAAGCAAACAAATGCTTAAGGACAAAGTACATGGCAAATACTCACATTTGCCACAAATGACAGCTGTTAAAACTAAAAAACCAATTAACTAGCAATTGTAGCAGATGTTTCTACAGCAAATATGAGTGGGTTTTAATTTTGTATTTAAAACTAACTATGAACAAAACGTTAAAAATATACATCTGATGCATAAAAACAATCTCTTCTGATAACCAAATCAACACTGGAGATTTGGTAAACTGCAACTTCTATTATTCTGGAATTTCTAAATGCAAACCAATCATTCTTAAAGGTGACGATGCAAGTACCAGGGAAATATTATTTGTCTCTGTTCTCATGTTATGAAATTTATTTTGTGCGTTATTTATCAAAAAGTTGCTGGGAACAAGAATATATGTAGTTATACTAGAAACAACATTATATGTTTATTAATCAAAAATTAATCTAAGCTTTCAAACTAGTCAAAAGCTCTTAAAATGAGGCAAATATCTCTTACAGTTTAAGATCTTGTCTTCTCCAGCACTTTTGGAGAAGAGCAGGTTGGCAGAAAATGAAGAAAGGAAGGAGAAAGGAAGAAGATTCCTGCTCTGAAAAGAATTAACCTAAAAGCAAATGTTTAGGCATGTATGTAAATACTAATTTACAAACTTTGTTTATATCCTTTAATATTTTTAAGCTTTGAGTTTTAACCCATGTTTAAGATACCTAGTAATTATTATAAAAATGAATGAGTTATCAATATAATTGTTTATGAGCAATGAAGACATCAGTTTATTTGAACATCTCCCTTTAGAAAAGGAATTCTCTTTACTGTCTTTGGAAATCCTGAACTGAAAAGCAGTCAGTAAAGAACTAGTCCATAGCAATTATGCTAATGGTTTCCTTCATAGCGGTGAAAAAAATACTGCTGCCAAAGACATCTAACAACATCAGTTCTTTATCCAGGGTTGGAAATCAAACACTTGTTTCAGTACAGGATTCAAAATGCAGTTTTAAAACTACTTTTATTTCTTGCACATGGTCTGTGGCAGCTTGCATTACCTCTTAACAGTATATACTATTGCTAATAAATGACGATATAATCAAGTAGTCTTGCTCCATCTCCACTGGGAGCTCAAGAACTCTGCAGACTGACATAAAGCAGCACTGCTCCAGAAAACTGATGATTTCTGGCTTTTGCAAAAGTGTTGGTGCAGCCACATATTAATGCACAACAGGGTGAGATCTAAGTGAAAATGACCAAGGAAAAGGCAAAGATCTGTCTGCAATGGCACCTGAGCTCCTTCATCTGATTCACCACACAGCCTAACACACACACCTGCTGCACAAGGGAATGTGTAAAGGCAGCTGAGTCTATTCCTATTAATGAAACCATTTTCTGTCAATTAAAATGTTGTCAAACCAGGATGTAAGCAACTTTGCTAATTCCCCCTCTCTGCTCCTGGCTCGTCTTGGTATTTCGTCTGGCCAATACACAGATTCCATAAACAAGCTGGTCATCAGGCTTTAAATAAATAAGAGTTGTCTGCGTTTACAAGTGTTTGACAAAGATTTCCAGATGTTAAACCACCCCTACCATTACAGATCCACTAGTTAAAAT